GTCGGCATGATACTTCCGAAGCATCGATACATGGAAGACTGGATGAACTCCTGATAAACTGGGAGGTAAAGCAAGCTCATAGGCAACCTCTCCAACTCACCTCAACACCTCAAAGGGGCCAATAAACCTTGGGCTTAGCTTGCCCTTCTTCCCAAACCTCATAATGCCCTTCATTGGCAAGACTTTCAAGAGAACCTTCTCGCCAATCGTGAATGATACATCACGTGCCTTCTGATCCGCGTAAATCTTCTGCCTGGACTGAGCTGTGCGGAGCCTCTCCTGAATCAACTTTACCTTATCCAAGGCATCCTGTACCAAATCTGTGCCAAGTAACTTAGCCTCACCGCGCTCAAACCACCCAATTGGAGAACGACAACGCCGACCATACAATGCCTCATACGGGGCCATCTCTATGCTGGACTGATAGCTATTATTGTATGCAAACTCCGCCAAGGGCAAGAACTAATCCCACTGCCCTCCAAAGTCGATCACACATGCTCTGAGCATATCCTCTAAAATCTGAACAGTCCGCTCCGACTGCCCGTCGGTCTGAGGATGGAATGCCGTGCTAAGCTCCATGCGGGTCCCCAACTCACTCTGAACAGTTCTCCAGAAATGGGAAGTGAACTGAGGGCCTCTATCTGATATGATGGAGACCGGCACACCGTGCAACCTCACTATCTCCCGAATGTAAATCTGGGCATATCTCTCCGCCGTATATGTAGTCGCCACTGGAATGAAGTGGGCGGACTTGGTCAATCTATCCACAATAACCCACACTGAATCAACCTTCCGCTGGGTTCGCGGCAACCCAAGCACGAAATCCATGGTAATGCGCTCCCACTTCCATTCCGGAATAGGCATCTGCTGAAGTAGGCCACCTGGCCTCTGGTGCTCATATTTGACCTGCTGGCAATTCAAACATCTAGCAACATGCTCCACTATGTGCTTCTTCATCCTCCGCCACCAGTAGTGCTGTCTCAAGTCACGATACATCTTCGTGGCACCCGGATGAATGGAATACCTCGAACTGTGGGCCTCCTCTAGAATCTTCTCTCTCAAGCCATCAACATTAGGAACACATAACGGCCCTGAAGCCGTAACACACCATCCTCGCCAATAGAAATCTTTTTGGCACCTCCCTGGAGTACCGTCTCTCTGAGGGTCGCCAAATGTGGATCATCGAACTGGCAGGCCTTAATCTGCCCCAATAACGAAGACTGAGCAACCACACATGCTAGGACTCGGTTGGGCTCTGAAATGTCCAATCTCACGAGTCTGTTAGCTAAAGGCTGAATGTCCAAAGCTAATGGTCTCATCTTAGTAGGAATGAATGCCAAGCTACCCATACTCTCTGCCTTCCTACTCAAGGCATCCGCGACCACATTTGCCTTGCCAGGGTGATAAAGAATGGTAATGTCATAATCCTTTAGTAACTCAAGCCTCCTGCGCTGCCTCAAATTAAGCCCTCTGCTTGAACAAATGCTGCAAGCTACGATGATCTGTATAAACCTCACATGACACTCCATATAAATAATGCCTCCATATCTTAAGAGCATGAACAATCGCCGCCAACTCTAGATCGTGCACAGGGTAATTTTTCTCGTGAACCTTCAGCTGACGTGAAACATATGCAATAACTCGCCCCTCCTGCATCAATACACATCCCAAGCCAACGCGAGAAGCGTCGCAATACACTGTATACATCCCTGAACCGGAAGGCAATACAAGAACTGGTGCCGTAGTCAAGGCCGTCTTGAGCTTTTGGAAGCTTTCCTCACAATCATCGGACCAACAGAACGGGGCCCCCCTTTTGGGTCAATTTGGTCAGAGGTGATGCAATAGATGAAAAGCCCTGCACAAATCGCCGGTAATAGCTTGCTAACCCCAAGAAGCTCCTGATCTCGGTCACTGAAGTAGGACGTGGCCAACTCTGAACTGCCTCAATCTTCTCGGGATCCACCTTAATACCCTCCCCTGACACTACATGCCCCAAGAATGCTACTGACTCTAGCCAAAACTCACACTTGGAGAACTTAGCATAAAGCTTCTGCTCTCGCAAGGCCTGAAGCACTACTCTCAAATGATGCTCGTGCTCCCCCAGGCTTCGTGAGTATATCAAGATGTCGTCAATGAAGACGATGACAAAAGAATCAATATAGGGCCTGAACACCCTGTTCATCAAATCCATAAATGCCTTTGGAGCATTAGTCAAGCCAAAGGACATCACCAGAAACTCATAGTGGCCATACCTAGTCCTGAATGCAGTTTTCGGAACATCCGAATCTCGAATCTTCAGCTGATGATACCCTGACCTCAAGTCGATCTTAGAGAACACCCTAGCACCCTGCAACTGATCGAACAAATCATCAATACGGGGCAATGGATACTTGTTCTTGATGGTGACTTTGTTCAACTGGCGGTAATCAATGCACATCCGCATAGTCCCATCCTTCTTCCTCACGAATAGCACCGGTGCACCCCAAAGCGATACACTGGGCCTAACAAACCCCTTTGCTAACAACTCCTCCAACTGCTCCTTCAGCTCCTTAGGAGCCATAGGGTACGGTGGGATAGATATAGGCTGAGTGCCTGGAGCCAAATCAATACAGAAATCAATATCACGGTCCGGAGGCATGCCAGGAAGATCAGAAGGAAAAACATCAACGAACTCTCGGACTACTGGCACTAAATCAATCGTTGGAGACTCTGCGGTGGTGTCTCGCACATAAGCTAGATAAGCCAAACATCCCTTCTCCACCATGCGCTGAGCCTTCAGGAAAGAAATGACCCTGCTAGGCGTATCAACTGTGGAACCCTTCCACTCCAATCTCGGCAACCCTGGCATCGCTAGAGAAACAGTCTTGGCATGGCAATCTAGAACGGTGTGATATGGAGATAACCAATCCATGCCCAGAATAACCTCGAAATCGATCATGTCGAGCAGCAGGAGATCTGCTCTAGTCTCAAGACCACAGAAAGTAACCACACAAGACCGGTAGACCCGGTTCACAACCACAGAATCACCCACAGGAGTGGGCACA